ACCGGTCCTGGCAGCGTTCGTCAGCCAGCCCCGCGTGTCCCAGAGAAGGGGAAGCACGCGGGTGGGGGTTTGGGGACCCCAAGCATGGAGCAATTTCCCCATCCCAAAACCGAGGAGGCTGAGGGCCAGCTGCTGGGGGGATTAAAAGGGTTTGGGGTGCTCCCTGCCCTGCAAAACATGGCTGGGGGGGGGGTCTCTGGGGGGGCACCAGCCTGGCATCCCCCCCCCAAGGCCCCCCAAGTCATTTCGGGCCACACGTGGTACTGGCAGCGCAGGCAAGTGCCTAAGAGCAGCATTCTGCCTGCCCGCTCCCATCGCCAGCCACCTTCCAGAGAGGGTTTTAATGAGAGCGGTGGATGAAGCGCCATTAACTGGAGCCTGCTGCTCGCATTTCCTGCCTTTATGGAAACCATCAGGCGGGCAGGGAGCATGCAGGCAGAAAGGGAACATCTGCCCACCTGAGCTGTGCCCAGCAACGCGGGGCAGGCTTCAGATGGGAGCCACCTTGATGCCAGCAGCAGGAAAAACTTGTCCCCAACATGGGGATGTTTTGAGCACATGGGTTGCTCCACGTCCCCTGGGATGCAGGGTGCCATGAAGCCGCCCTTGCAGTACTGGGGTATCACACGCTTTGGGGATTAAAACACAGGGTGGCCAAAACCCGTCCTCCACGGGCTGCAGGAGCGGCTGCAGAGGTGTCCAAGCTGCTGGGCAGCCTGTGATCCGCATCAGTGGGGGATAAATCCCCACTGCAAAGGCAGGCAGGGAATCTGGCGCCGCACTGGACAACATCATCTGCATGGCATTGCCAGGAATGCTAACCAGCACCCGGGAGATGTCAGGGGAAGAGATTTATAAGGGCACTGGGCGTCCTGCTGATGCCTACGTAGAGCACAGCTCACTCCAGCCACCCACCCCGGCCCCTCCACGCCGGCACAGGCAGCCGCAGGCAGGCAAAGCTGGGGGTTTGATGCAGGGGAAGGAGCTAGGAAAGGGGAAGACTGGGCTTTGAAAAGAGGAAATGAAGACTGAAGGTTTAAAGATTGATAGCACAGTATAAATTAGGGGGGGAGGAAATAAACATGCATGCTCCTGTCCTGGTTTTGGCTGCGATAGAGGTAATTTTCTTCCTAGTAGCTGGCATAGTGCCGTGTTTTGGATTTAGTATGAGAATAATGTTGATAACACACTGATGTTTGAGTTGTTGCTAAGTACTGCTTATACTACTCAAGGACTTTTTCAGCTTCCCATGCTCTGCCAGGCACACAAGAAGCTGGGGGGGGGGCACAGCCAGGACAGCTGACCCAAACTGCCCAAAGGGCTATTCCATACCATATGGTGTCATGCTCAGTATAGAAACTGGGAGGAGCTGGCCGGGGGGCAGCGATCGCTGCTCGGAGACTGGCTGGGCATCGGGCAGTGAGCAATTGCATTGTGCGTCACTTTTTTTGTATATTCTTTTATCATTATCATTATTATTTTCTCTTCCTCTGCTGTCCTACTAAACTGCCTTTACCTCAACCCACGGTTTTACTTTTATTTCCTAATTCTCTCCCCCATCTCACCGGGGGGCTGGGGAGGGTGAGCAAGCGGCTGCGTGGTGCTTGGTTGCCGACTGGGGTTAAACCACGACAGCTCCCCACAGCCAGCCATCCCGGCACGCAGCACTGGGGCCGGAGGCACTGAGTTTTGCGATTAATAATTCACTGGCGTAGACTGCGGCACCACTTTGCCCAGCCTCTGGAGGGGCGGGGGGCAATAAAATAAAGCAGATCATTTTCCTCGCTTTCCTGCAATGAAGATGCAGGGGAGGATTTTGCAGCACTCAGCTGGGAAGGGGCTCACGTTCCCACTGTGTCCCGGGGAGGGGACAGGGGCAGAGTCCACCCAGGGCTGAGTGGGAGCTGCTGCAGCTCTTCCCACCTGCCCAGGGTCTGGCCCCGGTGTTAGGCAGTGATGTGCAGGACGGCGAAAGCGCGAGCGGGTTTCCTGCCTCTTTATGGGCAGTTTCATGCTCTCATGGCTGCGCAGTGCCAAGCCCCATGCTGGGTGAGCTCTTGTTTGGAACGCAAAACCAAACAGCGGCTCTTCTGCACCGGGAGGAGGTGGGAGACCCACGGGCACAGCAGTGGCCTGGGCTAAACCCCAGGAAAATCACACTGCTGCTGCCGGCGGAGAGGAGGGGCTGCCAGTGGCACGGCTCCTTGGAGCAGGGTGGCACCGGGGGGGGTCACAAACCACAGCAACATCGGCCAAATCCTGCTCCTGCAACTCCCTGTGCTGAATCCTGCAGGAGCTGGGGGGCCCCGCAGGGGTTTGGGGGTGCCCCATCACTCACAGGTGCTTGCAAGCAAGGTCTGACCTGCAAACAGGCGCTGACACCCGCAGATGGATTTCCTCCGGGGAAACCGGCAGCGATCCCAAAGGATCTCATAAGCGCCCGTCCGCAGGGGAGGGGGACGGCAGCCAGACGCGGCCAAGGCCAGGCAGGTCAGCGTGCTGGATCCGGCGCCTGGGTTTCCCTCCCCAGCGGCCGCTCTCCCTGCCCAAAGCTGCGTCCCAGAGCCACTGGTCCGGAAAGCTCCGCTCAGGAGTGTGGCAGCTCTCTGCCACACACTCCCCTAAAAACCAGAGCCTCCTAAAAATCAGAGCCTACTCGTGCTGGTTCAAGCTCCCAGCAGGGAGTTCTGCCAAGAGATTTAAAAATCAGGCCCTGACACATGGGATTTAAAAAAAGAAAAAATGAGGGGGAAAAAAAAAAAAAAAAGTCATGTTTCTTTCCATGTTTATCCTCTTTTTCCATGACGGCTGCAGGGATTTTTGCTGGTTTTCCAGCAGCCCTGACCCTGCCCAGCTGCCAAGCGCTCCTCATCAGCCTCCCACTGCCTCCGCGGCTGGGGGACACCCCAATGCCGTCCCCCCCGGCCCACCCCACCACTGTCCCCACATCCCAGCCCATAAGGATCAGAGCGATGAGGATTACGCCGGGACGTGTGGGCAGCCCTTGGGGGGCTGCCAAGGAGGGAAAGCCCGACCCGAGGGGCCAGGGCTTGAGCTGGGCTTGAGCTTGGGCTGGGAATGGAGCGGTGACAGGGGCCAGAGCACCGGGGCTCCTCCCCGCTCCTTTTGGGGGACGGCTCTACCGGGGGTCCCGCTGCATGTCTGGGGGGCCCTGCAAAGGACCCAGCTCCAGGGCCAGCTGCAGGTGCAGGGTGCGTGGTGGGGGCAGCCCTCCCCCATGGCAGCACGGGGGGGGCCCACAAAGCGGGGGCCCCC